CCATGCCTGAAGCCCTGAGCCTTGGGCCTGAAGGCTTGAGGTAGTACAGCATTTGCTGGTGGGGGTTTTTTTTTGTCTCCACTGCTGCCTCATTGAGGACTTCCAGTTCCACAGGGTGTCTGGCTGACCGGTAAGTCCGTAACTCTGGTGTTCATATCTTTGAACTGTACATTCCCACTACAGATCAGTCTGAGTCCAAACTGATTTCACATCGGCTACTGAATAGCCACTTTTGGTCACTACTCCACCTGTGCTAGTGATCTAGAGGTATAGGGCTCTGATCGCTAGTCTGCTACGCCATCCAGGCCCTCTGCTCACCTCCAGTATGCCTCCCTCAGAATCTGCAGTAGTTTTACTACATTTACTAAGAGTTGTAGGACCTACACCACGAACAGGCTCAGACAGCAGCTTTGGATCTGGTTGCTCCATGGGTCTTTTAGCTGAGGCCTAGTATCTCAGCGTCAGATGTACCCCCTACCTGGACCATATCTTACACTTGCGTGGGGTGGGGATAGACTCTGACATTGGAGGCTTTTTCCAGTCATGCATAGATGATCCTGCTTGCCTTTCTATAAACTCTCTCAAACTGGATTTCTTTGGTATGCAGTTTTGGAGGCTTCCTATAAAGCACTTCCAGTCAGCTGTTCCATTTATTCACTTAGAGCCAATCCCTTGACCCTGTAAGGTCTATAAAGGCAATTCTATAGCATTCCAAATTAAGCCCGATCTAGGATGGATTAGCAGCTGCAAAGGCCACCCACACACAGGGATGTAACTCTCAGCTGTTCTTGTTTCTAAACTCACATTTGCCCCACTCCCATGCAAATTTGGTGCAGCCTCTTTTATTACAGTAAGCCTATTCCATCACACATGAAGAATCAAGGAACAGAGGTTACAGAAAATGTTATTTCCATTAAAGTAGGTAATTCCTCATCAATGCAAACTTTAAGGGCCTCCAGGCTCTATCTATTCCATCTCCCATTGACTTCCATAAGAGCAGGACTGCCCCACCTATTGCTTCCTCCTTGCCTTCTCTGTGTCCTTCATTGTATTCTATTTTGGTGTTGCAGCAGGTGGAGACTATAACATGGAACTTTCTTCCAATTTTTGAGGCCTGCAGAAGCAGGCAGCTCAGGAGATATACATAGCAATTAGGCTGTCTGGTCACAGAGCACTTCCTAGTCTAGCACTCTAAGAGTCCAGTAATTTCAATGAAGAGCACCCATAGGGCAAGATGGTAGCCAGTTTTGCATGGGTGCTCACAGTTGGGGTATAGAGGGAAGAAAACAGGGCACTAGGAAGTCAATACTTCTTGCACACCTGTCAGACAGACAATCCGTCCCGGAGACCATGAGGATTTTGCTCCTCTGTCCACACCCCACCCGCAGTGGAGGGGAACAAACATGGGGGAGAGTACATACAGCACCCTGTAAAAAGGTGGTGGAGCTCCCACAGCAGAGCATATACACACCCTGCCCCAGAGGCACTGAAACTGAGTCAAATAAAATGCCCTTGGGAGCTCCAGCTTCGGCCAGGCCTCTCTTCCACCCAACCAGGCCGTGGATTAGAGACCCCGCCAGGTCTTTAAATCCATAAAGACGAACAAAATAATTGCAGCATATTTTGCAAATCTTTGAAGCCCAGATTTCTTAGCACATTTTGCAAAAAATAGAATTATATGGAGACAAAGAGGCTGTGCAAACTGGATTTCTATACCACTGGGACCCAGGACTCAGAATACCATGAAAAGGACCCTCTCTTTGCGCTAATACATATTATCTGCCCTTTGGCCATTATCTAATTATAGGAACTTATCTCCTAACTATCTGGAGCGTTCCTGATCCAATTTATGAAAAGTTTAGACTTCAGAGGAATCTGTCTGACAGACCTCCTTGTACAGACATTTATTTCCCCCTTGTAGCTTTACCTTTCCTTTTTGCATCTTTCCTATTGGTCCTTTCAGCATTGTACACAGCTGCTGGATGGAGGCTACTCAGAGTGTCTTCTTTTAATTTTGTTAATTTCATTCAAATCTTGGCCCAAACTCTGTTCAATTATTTCTTCCTTCCTTCCTTTTCCCCCTTGTGTTGACCAATTTTACATCTAGTCTCATTGACCGGTAGATTTGTATTATCTTGCTGGAAAATCTGGCTAAAACTTAATTATAAATTATGTATTAAAGTGAGAAACAGATGGCACTGAATTATATGTGTGCAGCAGGTTGGATAACTTTACGATGATGATGAAAAAAGGTTAATTAGGAAGACATCCATTGGAATTGATATGTTAGGTTGCATCAATGTGCATGCTTCCAAGTATTTTTTCATCATGTTTGAAAGTATTGGGTAGCTAGTTAAAATGGATTTTTAGCCACCTGTAGGTTGCTGGATTAAGTGCAACACACGTTGCTAGTATTATTAACTGCTAAGAGTTGTCTGAACATCCTGGGTAAAATAAGCTTAATGGTCGGAGTGCACAGATTTCCACCTCCCAGAACTACCTATCATATGTACACAGGCGCTAGTTGTCTGAGCAGAACGGCCAAGGATGGAATGCGGCACGGAGCTCAAATGGCAAGGCAGTGTGGCAGAAACCTCCTCTGGCCCTGTTGGTGTCAATAAACAGACTTCAGTCAACAGACCTTCTGCTCTAGCATCTTGCATGAGCTAAATCCTTTTCCTTTCAGACGCCTGTCCCCCTTTCACTCTAAAACAGAGCTGGAATCAGCAATTTTATAAACCTCTTCATTATATTTTAGTTTTTAATAAACATTTTGGGCCTAGGTTGCTGTAGATCCAGATGTAATTCCTCACTGCTTTACAAACAGGGCCAAGTATTAACTGCATGCTACAGCTGGGGGAAATTAAGGCAGAGAGGTGAAGTGACTTTGCCTATGTCACCTTGGGTGTCATTTCCAGAGCTCTGGCCACAGCTCATCCATCCCATAAAGCTCTATTCACCAGTGTAGATCACTAGCACGCTGTATCGTGGTTTGGCCCTACACTTGGCCTACTGAATCAGCAGCAGATCAGACGGGTTGTGTGTGTTCAAGTCTCAAGGGGCCAGTCTATGGTTTTTATTCTCAAGTAGCTAGCCAGAATCATACACCCAGCTGCCAAAATTCAACCTGCAGGAAGGAGAGTGCTATATACAGGCACAAGGAAGTTCCCAAAGTCAGTCTTGCTATCAATTTACCTTGACTAATTGCCCCCTTGATAATATTGCCCGCCCCATCACAAGCCCTGGAGCCCATCTACCAGTACTGTATGCTACCATGATGTAGGAAGGATACAAATCAGCCCTTGGATTTGGTATGGCACCGTACAGGAGGCCAAATATTGAGTTCTGTGACCCTATACAGGAAAACAATTTGTCTCCTGGACCAAGTCTAGATTATGTGTGTTGTACCCAATCCTGCAGAATGTTTCAACACCCACTGAAACCAATTAAGTCTGCGGGTGCCGTGTATCTACCAGCATCAAGCCTTTAGCCTTATGTATGTCATACGGACATCTGATCATTTTTTACCTCACAAAAAGCAAACTTGAAAGGGACTTGAATTTAAAAGGACACAGCCAGTATGTTGATTTTCCTATTTGATCTACCTAAAAACTGTTACAATCTAGTGAGGAATGTTCTTCACATACTAAGTACATTTCACATAATTTAATTTTTTAATCCTTCATTTTGGCACCAAAAACTTAAAAACAAAAAAATCCCCAGGCAATTAAATAATATCACAGAAAACTAGCCATGTAATAAAGGCTATAATTCTGTTGAGCTGATGTGAGATGACAAACAGGTGTGGAGTTGGCAGGTTCACACATGATCCTGCAAGGTGCTGCAATGGGAGAGAAGAGTACCTTGCAAGAACTGGGGCCTTCACTACCCAAAGTTCCAAGACTGAATTTCCATGTATTATTTCACTGTTGTCAGTTTTAAAATATTATTTGATGTGTGTGCTTACACTCTGTGGCTCTGACACCCTGTTCTGGCATTGTGAAGAGGCCTGAATGTATGTGAGAATCAGATCCTGTTGTCTTAAGTCACTAACATTAGCATGGTCCTACTGTGATATGATGCTAATCAGTAGCACCACTTGCAAACTTCTAGCCTAAAGGAATTTTCTGAAACCACATGTTTTATAAAGAAATATTAAGTCATGTGCCTGCAAAATAAAAAATAGCACAGAGATTAACAGGGTGTTACTGAATATTTCATTCAGTCTTAAAAAAATGTATTATACAAAGCATACCAGGCACACTTTCTGAACATTATTAACATCTTGCTGCTACATAGTATCTTTTATCCTTGAATCTAAAAACACTTCAGAAATATTTATTAAGGCTCTGATCATGGAAAAGCTCTGCACAGGGTGCCGGGATCTGCCCATGTGGTGCTGGTAACAGAATGGGGAAAGCTCTTGTCCCTAAAAATTCCTTGGAGGTGTTTGGGAAGGTCACTTAATTAGTGGCAGGGTTGTGAATAAAAGCTAGAATTCCTGGATCCTTGTGTCTTGTTTTAAACCCTCGTCTGCACTTTTCCAATAGATTATGTAACATACACATGTTTTACATGTATTTAACATCTACATCGCATACAAAAAAAATGAATTACTTCTCTCATGTAAAGAAATGACTTCATAAGACATATGCTAACTAAAATTCATTATGTGGTTAGACGCACGGATATGCCAAGCAATAATCAGGAACATTCATTTAATTAATGACACTATATCTCCTGCCCATCCCAGGCAAGATTATGGCAAAGGAAATACTTCAGAAACATTCGAATTAGGAACTGCACTGTCTCTCTCCAGATGGGGATAACAGAATTGCAGTTGACAAAGAGATAAACTCACTCAACAAACTAACCACATCAGCCACACGTCATATTAAAATGACATTTATAAGAGAGCTTATAATGGGTTAACAGATGTTTTAATGCATTTTATGGATTCGGATAGTCAAGATGTTGTTTACAACCATGGTATATAACCATCGACAACACCTTCTACTGATGTGCTTGTAACCATCTATGACACACACTACTCCTGTTTGTTACATGCTTATAACATCTATTCATCATGTATTAACTAACCATTTATAAATGGAATCTTAATATCCTTTAAAGTTATTAGGGCTGTAAGCCTGCAAAGATTTATATATGCAATTTACAGAATGAGACCCCTCGGGTGTAAGTTTTTGCAGGATGCAGACCTATTTAGCAATCTTACGACCAATAGAAATGCTGAAAATAGAACTTTGAGATTATTACTGAAAATCTGCATGCGGGTGCATGAGAATCTCCGCCATTCACTGGAGTGAGGGAAGAGGCTATTGGTCAGCTCACTAGAATGGATGAACTATGATACTATAACGAAATACTGTTGATTTATCTGAAGATTTCCAAAAGCACCTAAAAGATTTAGAATCCCATTGAAAGTCGTGTGATGCTAAATCCCTTAGGAGCTTTTGAAAAGGTCCCCTTTAAACTTATTAAAGCATTTGGCAGCACACAAGTTATATACATGTTAGGGTGACTGAACTCACTCTAAAGATTGAAATGTTGCATGAGGCTAAAAGCAAGTATTTTATTCAGTGTTGAAGCTACGCATTTTGAGTCAAGCTCTATTCAGTCAGTGTGTACCCAAAGATAAGAGCGATAAACAACTGCGTTGGAAAGCAAATGCCTGTTGTAAGACAGCTAAGGAAGCTAGCCCATATCCCCTCATTCCCCAACTGTAATCTTTAATTACAGTATTTGCCCTGTGGTATTATTTATTATCTTATTCAGAACATTCTGCTTCAAGCATCTCCCCTGTACATCAGAAAGCAGGGGAGTGAAGTCACCAGGTTTTCAACTGCCTTTTTGGAATCCTCACAATCCTCCCAACTACTGCAGAATGCAAAACCCCTGGCTAAGGTTGTAAGCATCTGTTCATTGTCTATGTGTTTAATGTGAACCTCATTTGGCTTTAGGATCTCTGCACATTTGCTCCAAGTATGATCAAAATTTAACAAGATCTCAAGGCTCCCTGACATTTCAAGCCTTCCCCTGCCTCTACCTTGCAGCAAGTCCTGGATAAGTCATTGATCGGTTTGCACGGGCTGGAAGAAAGCAAAGTTGATGACTGCTCAATCTGGTTGTTAAGGATGCCAGGACCAATTTAATAAGAGTTAAGGGTTTGTCCTTCTTCTAACTATTGTGCAAAGAGCTAGAGGTGAGATGGCTACTGCCTTCCTCCCTGGTGGTGACTGCAGAGATAGCTCAAGGGACATGCAGGTCATTCAGCTACACAGGTCAGCCTGTTCTAGGAGCCTCACCCTGCCCAGAACAGTTTCATTCTTTCAAAAAAAAAAAAAAAATCTCCCCTTTTCACTAGAAAACAGGTAGGGCCCACAATCAGCAGCTTCCTACTAAGGGAATGCTTGGTTCACTCTGCTCATCTTGGTCAGACCATACAACTTCAGAAGGGAGACGCTCCTCAGCCCGAACCAAGAGATCACCAGCCAGAGAGAGGCACCGCAGGCAGGCAGCTCTCCCCACTCAAGCAGCCATGGCAGGGAAGTTCCCAGAGCCTGTGCGCGCCCCAGTAGAATTAGTACAGAATATTCTATAAACCCCAAGAACAGCCCACCAAAAGTTCTCCCACCGGGGCAGACCCGAAGCACTGCTAGGGGAAGATGGTCCTTTCCTCACAGAAAGAGAAGCTGAAAGGTGATCGGAAGATGAAGGCAAAAGTAACCAACAAATTAAGCTGAACTGCTCCCCGCAATGAAAATTTATTTTCTGCAATCCATGCAGCCAAGAATCCTTTTCCAATGTGCCTATTATGGAGCCTACCTGGTGCCTTGCACATCTGGAACCAGCCCTAGGTGTCTTTATTTCTGCGGATGTAAAAAGACACCATATAAAGATAAGTAGGATCATGAACTTCTCCTGTCAGGCAGTAGCACAGCTCTTCTGAAGCCTATATACTCATGGGAGCAGGAGACTGATCTGGAGAACCAAGTTCTGCTCTCTCTGCGATAGTAGAGGAAGAGGGCACTGCTAGGGAGGGCAGGGAGTCAGCAGACGTGGGTTCTAGCTCTGTCTCTTCCACACTATTCCAGAGGTGTTGAGCATCTATTGAGCCCACGGGTCTGATCATCCTTGCCCTCTTGAGAAAGGAAATCAGTCTCAGAGTTGCTCCTATACAACAGGAATCTACTTTTACTACACATTTAAATCTCCAGCTGGGCTTTAACCACAATACCAAATTATAAGGCAGGATTTGTGTTCACAGAAATGTTTCGGGTACAGAGAAGGTAGAAGGCAGTTGGGTTAAGCTAAGTGGACTATTTCCGTGCCTTGAAATATGTTTCAGAATTACTTTGGATGGAGAAAGAAGTGGTGGGAGGAAGAATTTGTTTTTGATGAAATATTAAAATATTTGCATGTCCCCCAAACACTTTTTTCCCAAAAATATGTATTGGCCAGCGAAGTTGCAGGATTGAAGTTCACATATACGTACTTCACTGAAAGCTAGACAATAATGCTGTCAATAATGTAGCAATTCAAACAGCGTATGGATGTGCTGATGCTTTGCAGATTTCAGTTCAAGTAAAGCACCTATTTAAGATTAATTTAAAAAAATCATGGCTCAGATTTAGATTTTAATTATTCATCAGCATATTGTATGCAACCCAAAGGAAAAAGCAAGGAGGCTTTATAGGGTGAGAGGGTTGGTTAGGCAGTCTGTGAAGTAGTACATAAAAAAGGTCAGAGTTATGTACGTTAAGGGTTTTGAAAGGCAATACATGTGGCCTACACACACAACGCTCAGCTGCTGATGTGCCATCTAAAATTATAGCTTTTAAGACGTTATCTTTGATGTATAATCTCTCCGTGTTTTTCTTAAAAACACTTATAAATGGCAACTCAATGCTTTGGTCACTTATAACTTTACTGCAAAAACCTAAGTGCATACAAACAAGTTCTGAAAACAAAGATTATGGAAATGTTTGCTGAAAATAATTTTATAAAATGTAGTCATTTCAAAATATACTATAGTTTCTCAAGCAACTTTCTGGTAGGAAAAATTCATCTTTTTTAAAGTAGTTGTTCTCAGTAAGCCACTGGTCAGAGCCAAATACTGCTGATCTCAAACAGGACTTAGATGTTGGATGTAAGTCAGTACCTGGCCTTAAGAACAAACCACAGAGAAAATTTAAATCAGCATCATCAACTCTTTGTTCAGTAAAGTTATAGATTTAAGGCTGCCCATGGAGGTTTTACTCAAAGTAATTAAACTCTGCAGAAACCAAGAAATGTGATATGAAACTATAATGGTACTTTATAAGATTCGAACTATATTATCTTATTTAAAAATATTTGTTTACATTAATGCATAAATGAGATGCCAATTCTACTAATTTAATAACTATACAGATGTCAAATCCTCAGAAGTTGGGATAAATGTACATCAAACTTTTGTGGTTTTGCCACTTTATATTTTGGGTACATGCCTTCATTTGTGATAATAATCATGAGGCCACAAGCTAATGTCGCCTTAGATATCTAATACACTTCACACTCAAACCAGTTTGAAAACGTAAACATTTCTGCTGTTAGCTTCGAGTTCTCCTCAAAGAGTTATGCTACAATATATAACAGATGCGTTAACAGGCTACAGTATAACAGAACTATTGCCAGTTGTTAGGGGCTGGTTTTATGAATTATATATGTATATTATATTTACATGGTATAATATATACAAATCCCTCCACTCATATTATTTAAGAAATTTAAATCCAATTTAACATTTATAGTTTGTCTCTACTACATCAATGATGTCCTTTATATTTTCACTTAGATGCCGAATAAGGGAATACTTAAGAGTATTTTTTTTAAATTAGTGAAGGCACTCCTTAGTGCCCTGCATATAATAAGATGCAAAGATAGTTCGGTGCATGAGAAATCAGCAGACTCAAGAATACTTGGCAGTTTTGTAAAAGCTTCCAGATCATCTCAAAGTGGTTTAAAAATATCAATGAATTATGCCTTAAAACCCATGAAGTATTATCCTCATTTTACAATTGGGGAACTGAGGTACTGACCTACACAAGCTCTCACAGCAAGCCTATGGATGGGCGGGGTGGGGCGACAGAATTCAGTCCCCTGAATTACTTTTCTTCCTTATCCACACAACTATCCCTTCTTTACATGTATATGTATTCTACCCATTGTACTTTAAGGAACAGATTACCAACTGGGGTAAATTAGTAACAGAGCGACACATCTACTCCAACTGAGAATCTGACCTTCATACTAAAAGCAATTCAGAGCAGTGACCCTTCCTTGACACAATTCAACATCATGTACAGACAGCGCTTTATAAAACCATTAATCAATCAAGCTGTACAGTTGTCATAGCAATTATGCCATGGACCTCACAGGTGAAGTTCCTTTCTGAATGTGGAATATCTGAATCTCAACATCACCCCCTGAAGTTTTATTTATTGTAAAAAAAAAAAAAAAAACACAAGAGCACCTTTCATCTCCTACCAGTCTTGTACTGCAATTAACTTAAGACCTGCAAAGAAAAAAAAAAAAAGAAAATATAAAGAGATGACATCAGTCATAAGGCACAGTTTCTTTTTTTAAATTAAGTGTCCATTGTCTCCCACCAAATCAATGCTCAGAGACCAGTACTATGACATTAGTCATATAACATAACATAACTTTTCTTTATTATCTACAAAATCTTTCTTGGCCAAAGGACTGCAGACTCTACAAGAGACCAATAACTTTACAAGGTGATGGAATTTCTGTGTTTATTGTAAGCCATTTCTATTACAAATTGCTAACACCTTTTCAAGGTGCAACCTAGCTTTGGAAATGCAGGCACAATAATACGTCAATAGCCATGACCAATGTATTCACTTTTAATGACCTTGGCAAAACATATCTTTCATTGGGCAGGTGCCACTATTTTGACTGTACAAAATGTTTTGGAAAGATGTTGAAAATTATACATGTTTTGGAAAATATTTCAGGATTTCAGTATAGGGAGTGAAGTTTTGGTAAATAAAAGTTTGAAGCTAATGAGGAAAGAAGCCACACCCAAATCTAAGAAAGTCTTTGCTTTCCTTAAAATAGGCATCTCTACAATCCCCAAAAGCTGTGCATTCACAGAATGTAGCGCTTTTTATTCAAGTAAACTAACATTTTATCTTGAATATTCTTTTATTTCATCCATCAGTCACTTTCACTATCCTGCCTTAGTCCATCATCTTGTCCAGTGTTGCTTTCCCTGTCACTCTCTTTATCCCAGTCTTTCATAGACGCTCCCATCATGAAATCGTCACGGAGTATGTTCCATGCTGGCTCTTCATCAGATTTCACTTCACCCTGAATAGGATAAAACAAAAACAGAAAAGGTGAATGCGGAAATCAGGCAGTGTGGAGGATTCTGAGCCTCCACAATACCCCCTCCTCCTCCCAAAACCCACTTTTACAATGCATGAAAAAACACAGACAAACTGAGGGCTGACTTCATTTGCTTTCAGTGCAAACAAGCATGCAAGCGAATTATAAAAAAACTTGACAAAGCAATAAAAGAAATATGGAAACAAAACAATTATTTTTCATGGACTAAACACAGTCAACCCTGGGCATGGCTTCCTTTAGTAAAATCATTTTTGGCAATCAAAATGGACTCATGATATCATTTATTAACCCCCAGGTGCTGCTTCATTAGAACATTTTTGGCACATTTCTGCAATACAAATATGGATTTAATAAAGGCTTTGTAAAAAACAAATTTAACATTTAACATATTTTGTGATTTGTGAACCAAATCCCCTTTATGTGGGTTATTATTGCCTCACTACCTGGGCCTACATATGGTACAAAGATGCTTCCAAAAGAAATGGAAATTTGATCTATGGTCAGCAAGCCAACAGTACCTTGATTCCAAATTTGCTTCTGCATGAAAATGGTTTAACTAAGGCAATATTTAAAGGCTCAGGGGGTTAATAAAAAGAAGGGTGACAAAGAGCTTTGGTTAGCTTATCATTTAATGTATTGCGAGGCAGCAGATCTCCAAAGATTACGTGGTAAAACACAGACGGTGCAACAGCACCACCCTGTGGAAATAATTTAAGCAATACAGTTTATACGAATTTTACCTATATTATATTATTGAAGAGAAACACTCAAAACTGTTCCATGTACTAGAGTGGTAGTTTAGTGATCTAAGCCTCCGGTGTGAAATATTCCAAGGAACAACATGGCTCAATATCTGCTTCACCTTTGGAAGGCAGATGAATGAAGTAACATGCAGTTTACCACTGAAGGGTTTTTGAGATGAAACTGTATAGACAAACAGAAAAAGTAGGGGTTTTCCCTGCTGTTCCTGGCCAAAAGTATCCTCTCCCCCTGCATTGCTATCACTGACTAGTAAACTGTCACCCCAGAAGCACTTACACTTTCGTGATGCTATATGATGTGTACAGCGCGTACACATAACTTTGGTGTAACGTGCTTTGGGATATGTCAGGATTAATACTATCTTATTAAATGAATCTTGGCACAAGGAATTAATTGAAATGAGAATTCTATGAGATAAACACCTTGACGGTTGTTGCTCTGCCTACTGCACATAGTCAGTCTCTTCACATTTATGCATGCCTTTCCTTGTTCTAGTGCATTTCTAGATGCTATACATTAAAGAGTACAGAACGCAATATGTGTAAGCCTACTTTCATGTGATCTCAGGGAGAGATTATAAGGATTTAGTGCCCTGGGAAAAAAAGAGACTGGAAAACTCAGGTCAATTAGTAAAGAGCAAACATATAAAAAGACTAGCAAGAAAGCATTTCTGCATAATGAATACAAGTTCTGGGCCAGACCTGTGTTTCCATAAAGAGCGAGATCTTTAAGCTAATGGCTGTCAAAAAACAGAAGCATTCATCTAGAATTCAGAGTAGCAGCCGTGTTAATCTGTATTCGCAAAAAGAAAAGGAGTACTTGTGGCACCTTAGAGACTAACCAATTTATTTGAGCATAAGCTTTTGTGAGCGACAGTTCACTTCACTTCATCCGATAAACTTTATCGGATGAAGTGAGCTGTCGCTCACAAAAGCTTATGCTCAAATGAATTGGTTAGTCTCGAAGGTGCCACAAGTACTCCTTTTCTTTTTTCATCTAGAATTACAACTTGTCCTGCACTTGTGTTAAAATGATGCCTCTCATAGGGTTGGTTATTTTATTCTTTTACATCCTTCTCAAAAGAGTTCCCAAAAGCCCAATCCCGAAAAAAGTACCCTGTGAAGCTGCTGATTAGACTTCTTACGGGTTGCCTGGCCTTTACAGCTACTTCCGCCACTTCCTGTTCCAAGGAGTAGTTCTCCCATCTCCAGCCACCACGGAATCAGCAACACCCTCTTCTCCAACAGCAGTGTCTCAGATTCCACCAAATGGCCTCCAGAGAACTTGATTAACTCCACAGGGGGCTTGGCTCCACGCAGAAGTTGCACTGCAGAATGGAACCGGTAACACCTGCTTCCCCCACAGCATGAGCTCAGTTATCAGTATATATTTTTCCCATATGGGAAGGGGAATAGGCCCCTTTATCCCAGCACAACTAAGGATTTTACTGGTATAACTAGATCAGTAAAAGAATCATCCTCTTAACAATTAAACTAGTACAAAAACTGTGTGCACACAAAGCCTGACGTCCACCTACTGCAGCGTTTGTCTACATGAGACTTTTTCACCTTGCCTTAATGATTTCCAATTAACTCAAAAACAGTTAACATGTTGGTAAAGGCTAATGTGGATATTTCGCAAATGTTTGTTCAAGGCTACAAACATCAATGAACTCTGGGTAATAAAAGTCTCTGGTAGCCAAACCAGGAGTCTCTTTGGTCTGCATGCAGGGTGGGCTCCTCTACGGCTGCTTGGAGAAGAGCTCTGCCCAGAAGACAGAGTGGCGTTCCCTTTGGCGGATAGCCAGAATGCACAAGAACAGTTTAAAAAGAAAATTGTTGCTGAGATAATGGGACTTGACTGGGCCCCAGCTGTTTTATATCTCATCATCTACCCTGTCAGGGAAGAGAGGCTAAAATGATGAAAGAAAACACTCACAAACCCTTCTTTGCTAAACCCAATAATCACCACAGTCTGGATATAACACTGAAGTAAAACTCTAAATACTCAATTGAAAAAATCCAGCTTGTTTTTCCAATAAGCTGCTTTTGCTAAAGAAAAATGCAACAGAAAAAGATCACTACATTTTAATCCACATGGTGCGTTTAAAAAGATAAAGGACAAGAGGCAGCAGCAGTGAGTTCTAGGGGATTAGAGCAAAGGGCTAGGAACCAGGAAAGCAGCCACGGATTCAAAGCCAGTATCATCTGACCTTCAGTAAGCCAGTGGGCCTCCTTTTGGCTCAGCCAACTGAACAGCAACACCTGGAAAACAGGACTTCAGCAAAAACCAGATGTTGAACTTCAGTAAAGCGACCATCTCTTGTGTAAATGAATTACATGTAAAGTTGGATTAGAGACCTGTGCAAGCATTAACTAAAGCGTTAGAAAGCAGCATCAGGTCTCAATCTGGAAGATGCGCACTTACTTTCAGGTGGTTTATCGGTTTTAAATATATTACCACAAGGAGAAAACCCATGTTCATCCCACTTAACAGTGGGGCACTTCTACTGCAGAACAGAAAAAGCAAAGGGGTCAATGAATTAGGACGGAAGAAAATACAAAACTGACCTATTTGGTGTTGTAATATCACACAAACAAAATGAAGTCCTAGGAAAATGTGCAGTAAATCTGTGCATCTAATTAGCAGTTAGTTCATGTTTAATTTCACCACGTGCTTTATCTATGTAAGAATGTTCATGTCCTAGGGTTTTAAATACCATAATCTAGTTTCATCTAAGTAAAAACAAACTGATTCTTGGCACTTGCCAAGTAAACCAGCTTTCATTCCATATGATTGCTTTGAGCTTTCACTCAGCTGTTTGTCCACATCTTCCAGATTTTACTCCAGTATTGAAGTCCCTTCTGAACATCCCCAAATGAAAACAAAAAAGTGTGTAAACATTAGCGTGTAGTGCTACACAAAAGGACTGTTTTGGGAAGGCAAGAGTAAAGTGCCATGGGCTTCACATGTGTAGAGCAAACTGTTCTTCAAACAGGTTATGACATTCAGGAGACTAGAACAATGTGTATATATAATGTTTGAAGAGTCGCTGTTTCCTAGTGATGTTCAAGTTATTTTGTTTTATTCCACAGTTTCAACAGGGGCCTGATGGCTAATTCCATCTATCACTTTAAAAGATGGAAGAGGCTGAAGAACATTTCATAGATGGCTTCTTATATTTTCACCGATAATATTCAGAAGTATTGCATGGGTTAATTGATAACAGCAATCTAATCCACAGCATCTCTTGGAAACTTGTTTGCTTGCACAACACGGGCACATTATAAAAGATATCGGACATGCAAAAAAAATAAATGTTCACACTGGCTTGAAGCATTGAGAACAATACATCTGGGCAGCCAACACCAGACTGGACACATGCTAAGTCAGCCGTTCTTACTGCTCTGGGATGACCTCTATCTCACCAGAGCACCCAGACTAACCCTATTCTGTTCCCAAAACCAGATACGTTTTTGTACCAAGACAGCAGCTGTGCTTATGGTCACTTGCAAAACACTAAAAGACAGCCAACCCCCTCCACATCTTTCCAAGAGCCTCTCATGCATAAGCACACTACTTGTGTGGATGCAACCACACGGGTCTGCTTTGCAGAGAGGATGCTCCACCTGGGCTAGGCTAAGTCTGAGGGAATGCCCACACAAACTGCTACAACAGCACAGCTGCAATGCAGCAGCTGGGTCACTGTTGCGCTTCAGCGTAGACCAGGGATTGGCAACCTTTGGTAAGGGGGCAATAGGTAAGCCCCCTGGCGGGCCGGTTTGTTTACCTGCCGCATCTGCAGGTTTGGCTGATCGCAGCTCCCACTGGCCATGGTTCGCCGCTCCAGGCCAATGGGGGCTGCGGGAAGCAGCGCCCAGCACACCCCTTGGCCTGCGCCACTTCCCGCAGCCCCTATTGGCCTGGAGTGGTGAAGCGCGGCCAGTGGGAGCTGCGATCGGCCGAACCCGAGGATGTGGCACGTAAACAAACCAGCCCGGCCCGCCAGTAGGCTTACCCTGGTGGGCTACACGCCAAAGGTTGCCGATCCCTGGTGTAGACGCTACCTAGGCCAACAGGAAGGGTTCTCCCATCAGCGTCGTTAAACCACTGCCCCAAGAGGCAATAGCTAGGTTGATGGAAGAATTCTTCTGTCGACCCAGCACTGTTAACACCTGGAGTTAGGGCACCATATACAC